TTCTTTCTTTCTTTCTTTCTTTCTTTCTTTCTTTCTTTCTTTCTTTCTTTCTTTCTTTCTTTTTCTTTCTTTCTTTCTCTCTCTCTCTCCTTCCTTCCTTCCTTCCTTCCTTCCTTCCTTCCTTCCTTCCAAATCTACATATTGTGATTAACTTGGAATCATGTTTGTTCCTTTTAACCTCCTGCGTTTGTCACCCAAGTGGGACGAAGTAGGCTTTCCAGAAGTTGAGTGAGACCCTCAAGCTGAAAACTCAAGTTACCTGTGTTCACGTGGTGATTTATGCAGCCGTGTCACATTTCCAAAGTAATGTGTCTCCTCTGAACCTCAAGAGGGCTAATTAAGCTAATGAAAGTTTAATTATGAAAACACAGGAAAGGCCCTATGGGATGAGGATTGAGTCCAATCCAATCTACATTTAATGGCACTGGCTTTACTCGGTTCCCAGGATCCATCTGTGACTCTCCTTTCTGGAGCTCTGAAGAACATGAAGAAGGAGAAACCAAGAACCGAGCGAGGGCCACTAAAAGCGGCTCATAAACTAGGACAAGAATGTGACTTTCCGATCAGCTCCACAGCAGCCAAAAAAGCTAATACAATCGTTGGCTTGGCTGTATAAACAGTGTTGACTTGTAAAACATTCCTACACTTGTTTCCAAGTTGCCATAAGGAAGAGGGAGGTGGGGGGGAGAAAGAATGGAGAAGCATACGGCAAATGAACTTAGAAGCACATTCCAACCTTATCTTTAAAAAGATTGTAGCTCATCTACCGGAGCTTTTGCCCAGAAAAACTTTAATTGGAGAACGTGATGGATGACACCTTGCCCATGTACTTATCTATCCAATGATAATCAAGTGGAGATAGTTACGATCTCCTTGGCTGCAACTACAAATAATTGGATAGAACGTGATAGCAGTATTTCAGTATTTGAGGGGCTGCCACAATGAAGAGGTGGGTCAAGCTATTCTCCAAAGCACCAGAAGGCCAGGACAAGAAGCAATGGAAGGAAACTAATCAAGGAGAGATGCAACCTGGAATTAAGGAGAAACTTAACAGTGAGGACAATTAACCAGCGGAACAGAAGTTGCTTTCAGAGGTTGTGGGTGCTCCATCACTGGAGGCTATTAAGAAGAGCCTGGACAGTCACTTATCTGAAATAGTAGAGGGTCTCCTGCTTGGGTGGGGGGCTGGACTAGGACTCTTCCAACTCTGCTCTATTCTTAGTCAAAACCATCCATTTTCCAAATCCATAGCTGACATGGAGGGTTTACTGAAGTCGCTGGTTGCGGGGGGACGACGTGTTTTTTATTTATTCCAGTTCAAAATGTTCCTTTAACTCCCAGTAAATTAAAAAAACAAAAACCCAACATAACGGTTTTTCATCCTCTTGGGCGAAACAACCTGTTACGCTATCAAAGGCCGAAGCGGCCCCTGGCTAGGAAGGATCATCAAATGGGGCTAACGTGATTTATGGGAGGCCAGGTTTAGGTGAAGGACTGGCAGCGTTAATATTACTTTGCGTTGTTTCCTCAGAAGTCATAATGCCGGGAAAGAGAATTTTCACATATGAACGCTATAAAGAAAAAAAGTCTGATTTAAAAGGTGCTTTGTTCTCCCAAGCCGGATTGGGAGGAGGAGTTGGGGGGGGGGGGGGGGGGGGGCAGAGATATAGATAACTGTCTTTTAAGCTTCCTGGAGATAATTTACTTTCCATATTAAAAGGAAGAGAAGACAAAAGATACATCTTTCTCTTTAAAAGAATATATATATACATCTATACATATGGATCTTTGGTTATTCGGGTTTTCTCCCGCGTAAAAATTAGAAGTATCTAGGCAACGTTTCGATGAAGTCTCATTCATCATCTTCAGGCTTGTGTCTTCAGCTTTGTGCTTCTCAGAGTAAAGAGCTTCGTTTCGTTACCAGGTTGAGTAACATCTTCAACGAAGTTTAGGGGATGTCAGTGTCTGTGTTCTTCGGCTTACATGGGCTTCATGTGGTCAGTGGTCTTGTGAGGGGTCAGGTGTGAGTCATCGGTGATGGTCTTGTGATGGGTCTTGTGATGGGGAGGTTACAACAGGGGAGGAAACCAACCCACGAGCTTGGAGAACGAACCTTCATCCTCATCCTACACCTGAGCTATAGACATCTGCCACTATTGCCAAGTTTAAAATGTCAGCAGTGCAAATTGTATACATTTCCACTGAACTCCTGCTCCTTCAGGTCTCCGCCCCACTACTATCTCTCAAAAATGAAAGTGGGATAATTTTATTTCAAGAGGTAATCTACCTGTCAGCTTGGCACACTATAAATTGAAAAAGTAATCCATCATCTATAAGTGGCATCCGAGTTCATCTAATTAGTGGATGGCAGAACTTGAAAAGACAAATGCTCAAGGATTCGGTAAGACCTCCTCTCTCTCTCTCTCTCTCTTCCAAAGTAATTAATCATGGCTTTGGTCTGGGATCCTTGCTAATTTGGGATGGGGGCGTTATCCTGGGTGGGATCCCGTGGCTGTCAGCATTCCAGAAAACCTCCACTCCAACCAATAACTCCGGGAAAGGCATCTTCTCAAAAGTTCAGTTTTTATTTGGATAGTAAACTGGCGCAACTGGGGAATCCTGAATCTGAAAGTTCTGGGCTTCCTTGCAATAAGTAAAAACTACAAATCCACCCCACTGCACCCACCATCATATCACATGCCCCAATCACCATCCGTCCCAACTTGAGACTTCCTCTCACTCAGGTGCAGAAATAACATGACCTTGACTTAGAAAAAGAATGTTGTTATGGCTAACTACATACACTCCAAGAAATTCCCCCCTCCCATTTTTCCAGGCTCAAAATGTTGCAGTGTGGGAGCACCTGGTCTCAGTATGGCTTCCAAAGCTGATAGTGGCATTTGTCTAGATGTTCACAACACATAACTGATGTTCTTCAAGATGTGGTTTTGTCTATTAACACCACAGCAGTGAGGAAAGTTACAAAGCCCTGAAAGTTGGTTATCGTCATTACTGTAATCATCATCAGTATCTGATATAGTGATGTTATACTGATCCCCAGGTTGGGACAGAAGTTCTTCTAGGAGCAATTATGGAGTTGGAAGAGATTTAACTCCATCTCTTCTCCTCAGCTCTATCACTATGAATAGAAGGCAGGACATTCACCTCAGTGTATCCAGTTCTTCCTTGGCGAGGAAGTTGCTGGGCTCTACGGTGGACATTTGACCCTTCAGCATCTGAAGTTCTGCCTCCAGCTACAAAATAAAGAGAACAGGTAGAAAATTAGCTTTGTTTGGTGCGGTCACCAGACACCGAGACACAAATAAGCCTTCCATACCCATGAAGTATAAGATGAAGACAATGTGATGGCCGGTTGCATGGTTTAAAGTGAAACAGACTGCAAACTTGTATTATGGGATTGATATGGCCCATAGTTTGTAAAACAAGCCATCATGTTTTGGTTTACGCATCACTCTGAGCTATTGCAGCTGGGTTGATGCCTCCTGATAAATAAAAAATAACCAATGCCCGTGGAGATTCCCAGTCATCCAAGTCATTGGTTGTCCCACAGGTTCTTTTTCAAGAGGAAACTGGACTTTCTGGGGGTTTTTGAAGACGTTTCGCTTCTCATCCAAGAGAGATGGAGGAGCTTCTCGGATGAGAAGCAAAATGTCTTCAAAGAAAAACCAGAAAGTTCAGTTGCCTCTTGAAAAAAAAGCACTTTGGGGACAAAAGCAACCAATAAACACTATTATTATGGCTTACCTTAACAGGTGATAGACCTTTGTGAATCTCTACTATTAAATTGGGACCTTGAAAATTAGAGGAATGACTTCTTGGTCAAAACGTACGTATCAGGATTCCATCAGTTACCCCAATTAAATAAGGAGTCTTGAGCCAAACTTCCAAAACTTCAAAAGGATTTATTGGGAGTTAACATGTCTGGCACTGCCTGGGTGTAGCCAACTCTGAGGCACATAATTCATTATCTCCCTTGACCCTGGTTTTCCCTCCCACCCCCTGGGTGTGTCATAAATCATATTCTCCATTGGGACACATCCATAGCCAAGAGTCATCAATCATGCTCTCCAGTTAGATATTTGCACAGGAGAAACTTCAGTCACCTAGTTACTATCTTTGAAAACATTTATGGAATGCACTTTCAATTTCCAAGCTGCCGCACTGATCTTTCAAACCCCTTTCCCCCCGCCTCCCTTTCTGATGGCAACTCTAAAAGGACCAGAGAAATATTTTATGAGTTGACAGTATGCTTAGCCCATACCGTCACAGATAAATTATATGAAATCACTGAATGAAATTAAGAGGTCCAGAGGGCCAAAGCTTTCTTTCAACGGCAAAGAGCAACCTCATTAAAATAATCCAGGAAACTCGAAAGGAAGAGCAAGATTCCAGACCACGGCTCCAAAATCAAGAGGTTCCTGCTTTAGGTGCGAATAGAGTCCTTGTGGGTGTCTGGGGAAGAGTTGAGAAAAGGGGGAGCAAACCATGTAATGTGTGTCAGCTGCAATTTGCCGCGATGATGCTGTGATTCGCATGATGCTATTTTGATACCGCCATGGTTTTTGTCAGGCACCTATGGGAATCCGCCAAGCTGTTTGATCTGACTTACCTTTGGATTGTAATGTGAGATGCAAGGCATAGATTTCCCTGCTTTTCAATGAATCATCAACCGTGGAAGACACATTTGGAGAAGATAATAAGAGTTTCAGCTGTTCCTTTCTGAAGGATTAAGTATGCCTCTCCTGGAATGATTTTTAAAGAGGTCTTTTGCCTCTACAAATGCTGATGGGGTTAGGATCCTTGAGCCTAGGCAGGTTTTACATCAAACGTTAGGTTATTCCTATTAAAAGTTACAAATTCCTTCAATGTCACGCCCTACCTCCAACCAGCCTTCTCATCCCAGCCAACCGTGACAAAAATTTGTGTTTTTGTCCTTGGCGGTCTCTCATCGCAACGAACAAGGACACACATTCAATTTTGCAACTACCAAGATTGTTGGGCGAGCAGGCACAAAAACAGCCAGGGAAGCGATTGAAGCCTGGGAAATGAGCCTCTTGCCATTCAACAAGAATGCTGATTTACCCCCAGCTTGTCAAGTACTTAGGAGACAAGGGCTTGGCATCACAAGGAAACAACAGCCAATGACTTAACGGCTAGCCATCAACACCCCAATCTGTTGTTGGCTGTCATTTGCTTGGGCTTCCCTGGCTGTTTTTGTGCCTGCTCGTCCAACAATCTTAGTTAGCTGCAAAACTGAACGTACGTCAACAGCCAACGACTTAATAGCCACCCATCAGCATCCCAATCAACGATTAAAAAGCCACACGCAACGGGCAACGTATAAATGCCACACAAAGTCTAGCCCAAAGCATGCAGTCTGCCAGAGAGAGACGTTCCCCAAAGCTGGGCTCCAGCATGAGTTACAAAAGCTCCGAAGACAAGACTTCTGGTCCCGGTGACCGAGCCAGATTGGATCCTGCCAAATTAGCCTTCTCTACTTTTCCATTTCTTGAAACAAGAACAAAAAAAAAAACAGGGTAACAATGCAGGGCTTCCTCCACAAGTGGAAAAACAAACAAACAAACGAAGGGCCTTTAATTAGAGATGCAAACCCAAGAACACATCCTGAAGTCTCTGGCTAGGGCCCCAGGGGAAATAAAGCATTAGCACACAATATCCTTCGGCAAGACAACGGAGGCTCTCTGCAGCATCTTAATTGCACGCTGCAGGATGGGGGCCAAAGGCAGGGAGGGTGGCTGCAGCACTAATATATGTGTCTATTTGACACCATGGACAGAGCACGCAAGAAATGGCAGCTTGCCAACCAACAAGGAACCACGCTTGGATTAGCAACCACTTGGAAGTGGAACTACAGGAACAGCTGAAGGTTAGCCAAGGTAGGCTATCCAAGTATGGGAAGCCATCCTGAAGAGGAGAAGCGCACTGTGTTATTATAGACATTGAGAAGACACAATAGATACAAACTCAAGGCTAACTGCACCAAACTTGACTGCAGGAAATACCACTTCAGCCACAGAGTGGTCAATGTCTGGAATACTCTACCTGACTCTGTGGTTTCTTCCCCAAACCCCAAAAACTTTAACCTTAGACTGTCTACTATTGACCTCACCCCTTTCCTAAGAGGTCTGTAGGGGGCGTGCATAAGTGCACCAACGTGCCTACCGTCCCTGTCCTATTGTTCATTTTTTATTTTTCTTATATGTATCCATTTCATGTATTCATAACCATGTTTATACTTATACCTGTTATCTTATAATTGCTTGACAAAATATATAAAATGATTTGATTCTGCCACCTCAACCAGGAAAGGACAAGGTTTTGCTAAGAGAAAAGGTTCCCCAGTCATGTGCAAATCTTGGGCATGATGGTCATCTCTTGTTTCTTGGCCGAGGGAGCCAGTGTTGTCCAAAGACACTTCTGCGCACATGTGGCCAGCATGGCTGTGTGCCAAGGTGAACGGAACACAGTTACTTTCCCACCGAAGTGATACCTATTTATCTAATCGCATTTGCATCCTCTCGAACCGCTAGGTGGGCAGAAGCTACAGCCAAGAACGGGAGCTCACTCCATTGTGTGGTGCTCGGGTTTTAAACCCATCTGTCGACTTTCCAGCAGACAAACTCAAGTGTCTTTAACCACTGAGCCATCGTGTTCCAGACACCATTTTATTTCCCACCCACCTTCCTGGATGAAGACCCCCCCAAGCAGCACGAAGGGTCAAGACAGGAGAAAGTAGTAACAAACCAGGGACAAATGGCAGGCACCATCATTTAAATCAGCATTCTGAACCTTAAAGGATGCGCTGGGGCCAAATTTGGGGCTGGATGTTGGAGGGGTAATGGAGGCCCACCAGCAACTGAATGGAGCCTGGGATACAGATGGCCAACCTGGATCTCACGGAGCACCGGAAACGGAGAAAAGGAGCAAGGGTTGGAGGCAGGTCATCTGACGGGCCACGTACACTCCTACACCCTTCTCCATTTTTAAAGTGATTCCATCAGCAAGTCTCATGAAGCTGGGGAGCCATGAGATATCAGCTTCTCTGGATAGCAGCCCTACTGGGAGAGACCTTCTAGCTGACCCACACACAAGCCTTCGCTGCAGGCCCTTAATAGGATTTGAACCCTGGACTCTCTTCATGATTCCCCTACCTTAAAGTGTGGGAACAATCCTATTTGAAGAATTTCTGGGTCTTCTTACAAAACGTGGACCCCAGCATGGCTGGCTGGGGAATTCTGGGAGGTGACAGTCCACAAGCCTTAAAGTTGCCAAGGTTGGAGACTCTGGTTTAGCCCCTTCCCAAGCGCCTCCATTAATCTCTGTCCTTTGGCCCCATCTCCTTTCTTTGAAAGCATCATAGTGTGATGGTTCTCTAAGAAGATCCAGAAATTCTTCAAAGAGAACCCTTAAAGGGGATTTAAAACTCAGCTCCTGGCTGCCTCCTAAATCTATCCTCACCTGCATTCTCCTATTGTTGAAAGAAAGAAAGAAAGAAAGAAAGAAAGAAAGAAAGAAAGAAAGAAAGAAAGAAAGAAAGAAAGAAGGAAGGAAGGAAGGAAGGAAGGAAGGAAGGAAGGAAGGAAGGAAGGAAGGAAGGAAGGAAGGAAGGAAGGAAGGAAGGAAGGAAAAAAGGCCCCATAATTCATATCGATTGGCTGGCGAGATGATCACAGCGAGAAATACTGTGTCCTCAATTTTATGATTGCCTGGTTTCTCTTGTTTTTGTTTTTCCAGCTCAACCCATCATAGATGGTCTGTTTCAAATTGTTGCCGAAGATATTTCCAGGGAATGGGGTATCTGGGGGGCGGGGGGCACCAGGCCGTCTGGCAGGAGATTTTCAATTCCACCCCATTGTTCCCACAGAAAAGCCATTTATCACGCCCCGCGCCTTTGCTTTCCAGCTGAAGGTTGCAGTGAGGTTTGTTATTATAGTTCAGAGCTGGTCTGTGCAGCTCCCAAGAACAAGCCCCAGTAAAACAGCCCATTCATCATGGGATAAGCGGACTGAAGGCCACGAGTGCCCGGCTGCCACCTGTTCTCTTGACACCGGCAGATAAATTGCCAACCGTTCCCTCCGGAGAAAGGAGGCCTGGGGGTTCGTAATAGATTGCCAGGGCCCTGCCATTGTGCCTGGGGAGCAGGGAGGGAAGCCGAATTGGGTTTAGGAAGCCCATGCAGGCAAACTGTGTGACCAGAGAGAGAGGTTGTACG